CAAAAAAAAAGCAAGTGATGGTGAATGGGGTTACGATTCAAGAAAATGAATGACTGGAATCTGGGGACCGGTTGAAACATTGGTGAATGAGCATTTCAAAAAAAACGGCAAAATCGTGTTTTGGTTGAACACTTTTGTGGAGCACTTTAGAAGCTGATATTGGACGAGGTGGCGAAAGCAAGTACTCCAAGTACACGATCAAGAGCTATGCCAAGTTTCGCCTGCTGAGTATGGATGGATGCTGGGGCCGTAATGTCAAGTTTATCCTGATGATGTTTAATGGGATCCAGAAATCTGTTATTTTTAGTTATTAGATGCGCCTTGCCTCCACCATGACTGCACTTTACTAGCAACATGAGTGTACATACAAGGAAAAATGAGATGTGTATACATTTTTATTTTTTTGCTCTGCTAATTGCGGGCATCGTGTCTTATGGTGGGAAGAGCGAATGAAAGTATAGATGATGATCAGTGTTTCTCAGAATTATTCGCACCCTTTATTTGCCTGCAAAATGCGGATCGAATCGAAGTAGCATTCGCATTCGCATTATGTAAAACCAATGTAAAATCTATTTATTCGCATTCGCATTTGAGAAACATTAATGATGATGAAGCGAAGGGTGAAAGAAGGGAGATGAAAGTGGAGTGCATGTGAACGATCTCTTTTTTGACAAAAATGTTCAATGTGACGTCAGTTTATTTCAAGCGGGTTTTCTCGCATTAGGTTTTTCTAATGTCAATGACTAGTGTTTCTCAAGAACATAGTGCATTCGCATTCGCATTGTAATAGCAACAGAAGAAGGGTGATAGACAAGAGCAGGAGGCAGAACGGATGGTGTTTATTGTACAGGGGAGCCAGGGTATTTATGTGTGCTAGGCTATGGGCTCCAGGATGGTGGTGATGTGGTGAGGTGGTGATGTGGTTAGATGGGGATGTAATTAGGTGTTAATGTGGTTAGATGAGACAGTGGTTAGATGACGCTAATGATCTAGGGTCACAACAGATTATAATACTGTGACACCTTCCCCTAATAAATAAAGCAGATCGTGTGTTTGACAGTATGTGCGAAGAATATCCGGACTATTGGCCATGTCCTTGAAGGGAACCCAGGTGGAGTCCTTGGCTGCATCGTATCCGAGCCATTTGACAAGAAACTCGATCTTGCGGCGCTTTGTGCGGTGGTCCAAGATGGCTTCAACCTCGTACTCAATTTCTCCATCAACAATTTCGGGGTCGGGTGGAGGTGCTACCCGACGGCCCAACGACTCCGGGGAGGGGAGGTATGGTTTGAGGCGGTCGACATGGAACACATCATGAATGCGCATGGTGGGAGGAAGCTCGACCTGGAAGGAGACCGGCGAACGTTGTGCCAGCAGGGTGAAGGGACCAAAGTAACGGGCCTGAAGGGAGGAGGCTGGTCGGCTGGAGTCGTAGGCTGTTGTGATGTTCTCGGTGCTAAGAAGGACTTGATCGCCGACTTGGTAAGAGTGGGAACGACGGTGAGCATCGGCATGCTTGGCCTGCACGGCTTGTGCGGTAAGGAGACTATCGCGGGCAGTAGCGAGGGCTGATTGCTGAGCATAGACAAACGAGTCAAAGTCCGACAAGGAAGCAGGGTCAGAGACACCCGTGGGTCCGAGGAGAGAGGCCGGTACTCGAGGATGGAAACCATGGTTCAGAAAAAATGGCGAGACGCCTGTGGACGAGTGGACCGCATTGTTGTATGCCAACTCGGCGGCAGGTAGGTACAGGTCCCAGTCGTCTTGTTTGTGATTCACCAGGGCGCGCAGCATGGTCTTGAGGGTTTGAATGGCCCTTTCCGACTGGCCGTCCGTCTGTGGGTGGAAGGAGGAGGACATGGCAAGCTTGGTGCCTAAGCGTTCCTGTAGTCGACGCCAAAAAGTGCTGGTGAATTTTGTATCTCTGTCGGAGACGATGGTGAGGGGGAGACCATGGAGGCGAAAGATGTTGGAGAAGAAACAATTGGCAACATCGGTGGCGGTGTCTGTGGTGCGACTTGGGGCGAAGTGCACTTGTTTTGAGACCTTGTCTACAAAGACGGTAATGGCATCGTGCTTTCGGGCGGTCATAGGTAACTTGACGACAAAATCCATGGTAACGGTATCCCAGCGCTGCTCAGGAACTTCCAAGGGATGGAGCAGACCGGCAGGAAGGCGACGAACAGCCTTGTTTCGCTGGCAGCTTGAGCAAGAAGCCACGTAGTTACGGACATCAACAGACATCTTGGGCCAGTAGGCCAGGCGGCGTAAGGTAGTGTACGTTTTATCGAACCCCAGGTGGCCAGCAATGGCAGCATCATGAACATCATGAAGAAGAAGAAGGCGTAGGTCAGAGAACTTTGGTATGCAGAGTAGGGTATCACCATGCCGCTCAACATACAATAAGCCATTATACAATGAGTAAAGGGATGGTGACTTGCCTCGGAGGCAGCTTTGATAGATAGGGCCAAGACGAGGATCGTTTTGATACCCTTCGATCAGGCGCTGCCTCAAACCTGTGTCCGCTTGAAGGTCAAGTGCATTGACTGAGAGGGGTGGGGGGTTTGGTACGCGGTGGTCCGGACGCCGAGAGAGGGCATCAGGAACGACATTGTCAGCGCCACGCTTGAACTTGAAATCAAAGTCATACTCTTGTAGAAGCTCCATCCAACGTGCTTGTCTTCGAGTGAGCTTGGGTTGCGTGGGGAAATGACGGAGCGTATCATGATCGGTATACACAATAAAATGGGAGCCGTCAAGGTAATACCGCCAGGTCTTGAGTGCGTGGACCACAGCGAGGAGCTCTTGCTCATGAGTTGGGTAATTCCGTTCTGCAGAATTCATCTTTCGCGAGGTGAAGGCCACGGGTCGTGCAAACCCATCAGCGTCTATCTGGAAGAGGACCGCGCCAACAGCATAACCCGATGCATCGGTCTCGACGATCGAGGGTAGGTCTGGGTCAAAGATGCGTAATACTGGGGCAGAGCTGATGGCATCCTTGAGTGCACGAAAAGCGGACTCGGTGGCATCATCCCAGACAAACTGGCGACCTTCACCTAGTAGAGACGTGAGGGGAAGAGCGATGTCAGCAAAATTGTGGATATACTGCTGGTAGAACTGAGCTAACCCAATGAACTGTCGAACGTCCTTTTGTTTTGTTGGGCGAGGCCACTCTCGAATGGCGCGAACAAGACCGGCATTGGTGTGTAAACCATCCTTGGTAATGACATGACCGAGGAACTCAGTCTCTTCTTGCATAAAGGAGCACTTGCTCAACTTTGCATAGAGACCGTGCTGGCGGAGGAGAGAGAGAACACTGCGAATATGACGGAGATGTTCGGCCTTGGTCTTGGAGTATATCAGAATATCGTCAAGATAGACGACCACCCACTTGTCAAGGACGGGATCAAGGACCTTGAGCATCATGTTGGAGAAGGAGGCTGGGGCGTTGGTGAGGCCAAAGGGGACGACGTTGAACTCAAAGTGCCCGTATCGACAACGGAAGGCAGTCTTATGAGTGTGAGGCTCATAGATGCGTTGTTGATGATACCCCGAGATTAAGTCCAACTTGGTAAAGTACTTTGCGCCCCGAAAACGGTCGATCAACTCATCAATTCTAGGTAAGGGATGGCGGTTCTTTCTTGTAATGCGGTTGAGACCACGATAGTCAACACACATACGTAGAGAACCGTCGGCCTTCTTGACAAAGAGCACTGGGGCGCCGTAGGGAGAAGTGCTGGGCTTGATGAGTTTTTTAGAGAGTAACTCATCAAGTTGCTTCTTCAATTCGTCCAACTCTGCAATAGACAAACGAATAACGGGCTTGAAAGGAGGGTCAGCGCTCGGGTCCGTTTCGATGCGCATGGCATCTCCACGGTCCGGAGGTAGACCAGAAGGAAGTGAAGAGGGAAAAACGTCGGGGAACTCGTCGTGAACAATGGAGTGGATGTCAGGGGGAAGAGAGGGAGGTGGTCGTGGTGTGATGGGAGTGATCGAGGGCAGTTGTTGGTTAGAGGTGGGCTGGTCATTGTCATTGTCGTTATTGTTGTTGTTGTCTTTGTCGTTGTCTTTGTCGTTGGAACGAATGAGGGCAAGGTATATTTCGCTGCCGGGGGTTGTTGCCTCTGTGTAGAAGTGGATGTGGGAGAGGAGAAGGCCGCGAGTGCGAGTGCTGATGGAAGATGACTGAAAGCCGGTACAGTCCCAGTCTATGTCGATGTCGTTGTAGCGGATGCGGAGGTTGTTGGTTCGCCAGTTGATGAGAGGGTTGGTTTGTGTGAGCCAAGGTTTGCCAAGGAGGAGGTCGTAGCTCTTTAAAGGGTAGACGAGGGGATCGAGAGTGGTGGAGTATTGTTGTCGTGCAAAGGTGATGTGGGCGGTGTGGGCAGAGAAGGAGCGAGATCCGTCGGGGAGGACAATGGGGATGGGAGAAGAAGAGTGAAGAGGAATTTGATGTCGCTTTACAAAAGAAGAGCTGATGACGTTGCCTTGAGCTCCACCGTCGATGAGGATCCGAGCGGAGTGACCATTAACATTGCAGACAAAGGTGAGGAGGGTAGTCTTGGCTTGCTCGGCAGTGAACGTAGACACACCAATGCCCCTTTTTCGCAACCGGCGGATTTTGCTCTTGGTCATTGTGGAAAAGACAGGTACGGTCTCAGGCACGGGCGTGGTAGATGGAACAGACGAACCAGGCGTGGGGGCTAGAACGAGGGGCGACATAGGTGGGTCCAGGTCCACTGTAGCAGCCAATCCAGCCCCCTCTTGAACAGGGGAGGTGCATACAGCGGGGAGCTCAATGATAATGGGAGAAGGGACAGGGGGCGAGGGATCAACAAGTGTAATGGCAGCGGGGGAGGGGAGAGGAGCAAGGTCTTTGGGCAGAGAAAGTCGTTTATTCGAAAAAGAAAAAGAGGAAAACTTATCTGAAGAAAGAGGCTTACTCCTCTGGTCCAGAGGAGCAGAGGAGGGGGCAGCAGCAACTAGAACCTGGACGTCTTCTAGTTGCTGTTGGCTTTTCCCGACTGAGCCTGGGAAGTAGCCTGTTGAGGGGTTGGGGTGTCGGCAACCTCGATATTGTTGAACTGTCGTGCCGGGCGTGAAGTCGAAGGAAAAGTCCTGCAATCGGGCCCAAGGTGGCCAAGTTTACGGCACTTGTAGCAGCCACCATTCTTGTAGAGGTAGTCTTTCTCTTCTTGTGATAGCTTGGGAGGAAGAGGACCGCCGGGTTTGTAGTGGGTATTGGGGTTGTAGATAAAGGGTTTGGTGTTGTGCTGGCTGTGGTTGTAGCCGGATCGGCGCGAAAGGTAGCTGACTTGTGCGGAGAGGTTGTTGATAGCAACATGGAGGGTGTCGATCTCCATAGCGGCCCCTTCATGTGCAGAGGATATAAAAAAGCATATAAAAAATATCCAAAGCCCAAGGAACGGAGTGTTGACTTCCATAGCTGATATATCTCTTCACAGTCGGCAACAGAACATAGGATAAAATAGCAACAGATAGCACAATTTTTTTTTAAAATGTAATCTCTCCCCTGTATTTCACGACAAAGATACAGTTGAGAGTGCAAGTGCTTTAGATGATCACATACAAGAACTACTCAGGCGAATCTTGCAGTGATGGGTACAGTTTAATAGTAGATGAACACATTCAAGATATTGGTGAGCGAAAAATAAGAAGACTTTGTTGTTTGGAGAATAGGTTGGTGTTTAGTAGGATAGTTAAACAAAAAATGTTACAATGGTTGTCTTATATGCTTGGTATCATACATACACTCTCCTCTAATGGACGCGGTGGATATCGTCAAGATCTGCAGAGATGTAACAAACACCATATGATAATTTGGACTTGAAAGGCCTCCTAGGTGGAAGTGTCGAAGACATGTTACATTTTTAAAAAGTTCATGCTATATATACAACCACAAATGCCAACTGTTGACAATTGGATAGTTTTTAAAATATCTACTCTTCATCTGTCTCAACAACTACCAAAACTTTACATCTGGAGAGTACAATTTAGGCAATTCCTCGATCGTGAACCCCATGGCAATTAACTTCTGCTTTTGTTTGTTGTTGGTAAATTTGTCTCGACTATAGTTACTGTCACCGTTTGCAGGTATCTTATACAGCAGTCCAACAATAATGTCCTCTTCGTACCTCTTGAGCAGATGACATCCGTCGAAAAGGTAGTTGGTTGCATATTCATGCTTCTTGTCAAACGAACATGTTGTCCATTTAATTTCGTCTTTATCTATGACGATTATACCCGAGGAGCTTTTATCTTTAGGGTACCTTTTCCACATAACATCCTCAGCATCTTTATCATCCTCAGCATCTTTATCATCTTCAGCATCGTTATCACCCTCAGCATCTTTGTCATCCTCAGCATCGTTATCACCCTCAGCATCTTTGTCATCTTCAGCATCTTTATCACCCACCGCATCTTTGTCATCCTCAGCATCTTTATCGCCCTCAGCATCTTTATCATCCTCACATGTGCTCTCATCTTTCTGTGGCAAGCTTTGCTTATGCTCATGCGGTTTAAATCCCATAGCAAACAACTTCTCTTTTTCCTTCTGGCTAAGAGAATGACACTCTACATTCTCTGCAGCAATATGGTCATCAGTCATCAAGCCGATTACAGTGTCTTTTTTGCGCATCTTGAGAATGTGCATTCCATTTACAAGTACATTCTCGGAATATTCCAAGTACTTGTTAAGTTTTTTCCATATCACCTTGGATTTATCTGTTGGTCCTTCTACTGGTACTTCTTCTTCTACTTCGATCTCCTCGTTGAAAAGCGTCTTTCTCTCTTCATCAGACAATGGTTGAAGTTTCATCTTGCTAAGCATGGAGCGTTCCAAGATATCCAACTCTGGAACATCACCGACACCGCGCAGAGCATCAAGCGTAAACAGGCCAACGTATGTATTCTTTCCAGATAGCCTGACAATGTACTTGCCATTCATCGTAAACTTAGTTGCATACTCAAGCATGTCGTTATTAGGATGAATCATCCATCCTCTGTCCTTCGCACGTGCTATGTCTTTCTCTGATCTAATGTTATGCACCGTTGTGGCCAGTGCAAATGTATGTTCATCTTTTCCATCCTTAGAAACGTCTACATTAGAAGATGGCTCTGCATTTTTGGGCATCTTTGAAGGCCTTTTCTTTCGAAGAGTCTTCTTCTTATCATCCTTAGATGACTTTTTATGAGATAGTTTTTCATCAGGGTTATCCTTAGAGGTATCATCTCCAGATTCTACATTAGGTCTGTTATTGGACTTGCCATCATCAGAGTCTTTATCATCAGGGGAATCATCGTCAGAGCCAGCATCATCAGACGTATCACCATCATCAGACGTATCACCATCATCTGTATCATCGTCAGAATTCTCATCAGCAGAAGACTCTTCTATTTTTTCTACATCTGCAGGAGTTGCCTCTTGGAGTCCCATCTTTTGCAATATACGTACCTCTTTGTCAGATAATTCCGGTACAGGAAGATTTTTCCCCATGAGCTCAGGTGGACACAATACAACGTAGAGATCCTTTTCCTTCAGCTTAATAATGTACTTGCCATTTACAGTATAGTTTTTTGCATACAGAAAAGCTGGATTAGTTGCATAACGCATCCATATGCCTGTATTAGCGAGTGGTACATTTTTCTTGGACGTTATGTCAACTACCTTTGGACTCAACGGAAAGGAGACGGCAATTTTATCTTCTTCATCATCATCGTCGGACGGCTCTTCATCCTCGGAAGTCATATCGTCATCAGATGATACAAACTTAGAAGTATGTGTCTTCTTTAAAGCCTTGGAAGACTTGGGACGCGTAACGACAGGTGCATTCTTGTTACCACGTTTTATATGACCTCTATCTTGATCTTGATGACGCCCACAGTATGTTTGACCAATTTTGGCTACACTACCACAATTAGCGCCCTTAATGGTTGTGCCTTGACACTTGCGCGCAGGATCGTGGACATAACAATGCATGCCTTCATCGTCAACTTCCTTCATGCATTTACGCTTGGACTTGACGCACTTTGCTCCACAAAAGTAGTATCTCTCCACTTCCTTATCCCCATCAAGCGCCTTAAAGATCTTATTTGCATCTTTCTTGGTAAACTCCACTCCCTTCTTAGAAGAAAATGTCTCGAAGGCCTTGGTGATGAGCTCGATTGTAAGCTGAACGTACTGCATGTTTTTGGATATGAACGATATAGATTGTACTTGTGGTATGGTGGGTGTGAATGACTTTTCAGTTTATGTGTGGTAGATTGCAGCTGCTTAGTACACTGATATAAAGAATTGCAATAAAAGATGGTTGTATAGGTATGGATGGTTGTATAGATATGGATAATGGTTGGTTGGTTACTAGATAAGATAAAGATTAAGCAAGAGGGAAGTGGAGTCCTTTATTTATACTAATTCATGGGACACTGCCACATTGGATATTAATAGCGCTTGCTTATTAACACTGCTTGGCGCTTAGTAACAAAAGAGTTTTAAAAAGGCATCTAAGTGGTTAATAACGTAGTGTTCCTCGTATGACGTAGATCTTGCTTATTAAGACTGCTTGGCGTTAAAGACGGGGTTTAAAAATGGTTAAGAATGTAGTATTCTTTTATGACGTAGGTTTGTACATGTGTTTATGTATTCTTTTATGACGTAGGTTTGTACATGTGTTTATCCTCTTTGTTAAATAAAAAGGAATGTTGTAGAATAGCATAGAATAGCATCCGATCTACTACAATAATACCATGACTTTTAATAATAGATACCGGTGCATATTAGCGTCTAGGCAGTTAATACCGTATCTCAACGCTGACTAAATAGGCTATGTATGTCTATTCTTTTAAAAACCTGCAATAAGTCTACAAATTACCATTAACATCCATTTGTCGCTTCGTACTACGTACCTCAAAGCGCAATGGAAAGGCCGGGTTGCAGTATTACTGGTGGATCCATTGGTGTGTCCTCATCAGAGTACTGGTCCTCATCAACATCACCATGAAGATTAATACCAAGAAATTTGTTCTGGAGTTGTGCCATTGTATTTCCATCCTCCACTAGCGCACCAACATCAACATATCCCATTGGTTGCTCAACGTCGTTCTCTGTTGTCGGATACTCGAATCCTTCGCGAAGCCAAGCTGTATGAATTGGTTCTGCAGGAATCTTTAACAAAGCAACCATCTTTTTCATGTTTAAGAGTAACAAAGATAACTTCAACTGCAAATTATATGTTTGTTTCTTATCCACCAACACAGGAGTACGGTTGTTGTGTTTCTCAAATGTGGAACCAAGGTCTGCAAACAGAGATTCCATCTGCGAGCGGAAACTACCAAAGGTGGTATTGTATAACGCTTCTTCCTCTGTAAGTTCCTTGTTCTTCTTTTTACGGTATGGATGAGCGAAATTTTGGAATCTAAGAGTATCAGACTCATCTACAAGCCTCCTTAAGAACTGTGGATACCCTCCATCGAGAGCTATGCAATCCATCTCATGCACTCTCTTGTCCAACTTCATCGTCAGCAGCATTGTTCCATCAGCATTGTTCTTGCAAGATGCAGATTTGGAGACAAATAAAGCCATGCCATTACAATCCATTGCTACCTGTGTGCGTAATCCTGACTTTTTCAGCTTGTAAGAATACATATCAGCACTGCTCTCACCTTTGTATGTTGCTCTTGTATCATGACCATCAAGATGCAATGTGACATGCTTAAATAATACAGGATTCTTTTCCTTTGCAGACAATAGGCGTATTTTAATTGTGGAGAACATTGTTGCAATACAGTTGGTGATGTACTTATTGTGCAAAGTATATTCTTTCTTATAAAACACAGAGTGCATTGCATGAAAACTACTTTTTGGCATGTGTGGTTCCATTGCTTCCATAGACAGTCCTTTGACAAGATGATAGAGCATTAAAAGACCTTTCTCCACTTCTTTGTATGGCCCAGGATACTTGACTTTTGGCCAGATATCAACAAGAAAGAAGTACACTGGAATAGGTCCAAGGCGTCGATTCAGAGTCTCTTTTATTTGTGGCATAAACCCAATTTCCTTGCTTACAGTACGATGGTTATTACGTGGTGTAACTGTTGGCCATCCAGCGTCAAGGAAAGTCCAATGGTCATCAAGCAGTTGTTTGAAATGTTTTGTTAGAGCCATAATAATATTTATGTATTGGATTGTCATGACGTTGACCAACAATAACAATTTTTTAAAAATGCTCATACTTTACTGCATACACAAGAGCATGTAGGATGGTATCTATCAACTGTATCTCACAGCAAGCACATAGTTGAGAATACAAATATACGTTTATATTTTTTTTCGGTAGCGGCCCCTTCATGTGCAGAGGATATAAAAAAGCATATAAAAAATATCCAAAGCCCAAGGAACGGAGTGTTGACTTCCATAGCTGATATATCTCTTCACAGTCGGCAACAGAACATAGGATAAAATAGCAACAGATAGCACAATTTTTTTTTAAAATGTAATCTCTCCCCTGTATTTCACGACAAAGATACAGTTGAGAGTGCAAGTGCTTTAGATGATCACATACAAGAACTACTCAGGCGAATCTTGCAGTGATGGGTACAGTTTAATAGTAGATGAACACATTCAAGATATTGGTGAGCGAAAAATAAGAAGACTTTGTTGTTTGGAGAATAGGTTGGTGTTTAGTAGGATAGTTAAACAAAAAATGTTACAATGGTTGTCTTATATGCTTGGTATCATACATACACTCTCCTCTAATGGACGCGGTGGATATCGTCAAGATCTGCAGAGATGTAACAAACACCATATGATAATTTGGACTTGAAAGGCCTCCATATCGCTGGATTGTTGAACAATGGGCTTGGGACCAGTGGGCCCGTCAGGGTAGAGGATGGAGTGAACCAGAGTGGCTTGAGTAATGGCAATATCCAAGGTCTCCGGCTGGCGAAGCATAACCTCCTTGCTGGTTTCTTTTTCGAGGCCTTTTTTGTACCAGTGCAAGGCGGTAGTATTGTCAAGGGAGGGAACTCGACGGCGAAGGCGGCGGAATTCGTGGGTGTAGGCGGCGACTGTACGCTTGCCTTGTCGTAAAGACTCAAGAGCCGAAAGAGCAGCGACGGCGGCATTGGGCGGGGTGTGAAAGTTGAGGAAGGCTTGTTTGAAGTCGTCCCAGGAGCTGCGAATGGTAAGGCCGCTTGATCTCCACCACGATTTCGCATCGTCAGTGAGGTTAAGGGCCGTATACTGGACCCATTCAGCGGATGCAAGGTTGACGACCTCATAATACTCCTCTTGATTGTCGATGAAGTTATGACAGGCATCGGCGTCGATCGCGCCAGCGTAAGGAGAGGGGGTCTGAGGCTTAAGGATTTTATGGAGGGTGCGGGCAACATCGCGGCAGGCAGCCTCTTGTTCGAGTTGGGTTGGAGCAGGAGGTAGGGGAGTAAGGCTTGCAAGGAGGGTTTCAATCCTGGTCCTGGCCTCGTCAGTAAGGCCAGAGGCGAGCTGGCGAATTTCGTCGGTAGCAGACATAAGAGCCGGAAGGGTGCAGAAAAGTAAGAAAATAAAAAAGGATAGTAGGGATATGGTAAAAGGAGGAGAGAGCTGTACGTGTGGAAAGAGAAAATAAAATATGGGTAGACAGGAACGGAGCTGGAGCAGGAACAGAAAATTTGACAGATCAGGGCAGAGGGGTATGGATCGAAGTTACTTTTGCTACCATGTAATAGCAACAGAAGAAGGGTGATAGACAAGAGCAGGAGGCAGAAACGGATGGTGTTTATTGTACAGGGGAGCCAGGGTATTTATGTGTGCTAGGCTATGGGCTCCAGGATGGTGGTGATGTGGTGAGGTGGTGATGTGGTTAGATGGGGATGTAATTAGGTGATAATGTGGTTAGATGAGACAGTGGTTAGATGACGCTAATGATCTAGGGTCACAACAGATTATGATACTGTGACACTGGAAGGCAGGGATGGATCGAGGCATTGTTGATTGTGCAAGGGGGGAAAGCTTGTTGAGTGTGTGCTGATGGAGGCATGGCATAGTAATGGTTCGTTTCTCCCAGTCGATATATGGGTTGAGTGAGCGGAGCCAGTCCATGCCAAGAATGATGGCATAATTGCCAAGTGCAATGAGTTGAAAGGTGTGTGTGGAAAAGTGTTGTGAGTGGGATTGCATAACCAATGTGGTGGCGTGATGAGAGGTATGTGTTGAACCATTGGCAAGAGAGATTTGTAATAAGTGTTGTGCTAGTGGAAGATTGTGCTGTTGTGCTAGATTTTGATGAATGAATGAGATGGTTGCTCCTGAGTCGATCATTGTATGGACTGGTAGTGAGGAGTTTTGGAAGTGAAGAGTGATTGGAATAGTGATAGGGGATAGCAGAGGATCGTTTGGAGATTTGTTATACAGCTCGCCCAGACGCACTCCAACTTTACTGTCTAGGCTGAATCTTTTTCCAATTGGAAAGAGATTGCATCGGGCTGGTCGCTAGTCTGTGTAGGCTGAAGGGCAGAGATCGAGGCTGTTGCCTTTGGGGCGTTCTTGAACGAGGGCTTTGCAGGTTTCTTGGGGCAGTCGTCAAGCCAATGATCTGCTGAACCACAGTAGGTGCACAGTCCTTCCTTTTGACGAGGAAGACGCTCAGACGGTGGCAAAGGACCATGGCGAGCATGCGAGAGATCCATGTCCATCGAAGTGGTCGCGGGAGCTGAGGTAGCAGGGGTGGACGCGGTAGCTGGGGTGGATGAGGCTTGAGTGGTAGTAGAAGTGTGGGCAGTGGTGGAGCGGGACGGAGTGCTGGAAGAGTTGTTGCCGGAACGGGTCACTGCATAGCCCCACTGTCGGTTGTCGATGTCGATAGCCAATTGTGAAAACTCGGCAAAGGTAGGTGGCTCGGGGTAGTTTGCCATGGCTTCTTGAACAGACTCCTTCAGGCCGAGGCGGAACTGTGAAATCATCGCGCTATCATTCCATGCTGTATCCGCTGCAAGGTTGACGAAACGGTTTGTATAGTCAATGGCAGAACCGCGCTGTCTAAGTTGACGGAGTTAGGTTTCTGCTAGGACGTGAGCATTGGAGACTCCAAAGTTCTTACTCATAAGAGCAAAGAACTGATCCAGGTTAGAAATACATGCAGGTCTCTCCTCGACAGGCAACTTAAAGGACGGAACGTATCTCTGCATATA